CGACAGGAAACTCGGCAATCGTGTCACCGCCTGTCGCCCTCCTACTGGTCCAATAAATACATTCTGTGCAAGATGTGGCGGAGGTGTGGTATTATGCGGCACCCCAATTTTCGGCATAGCATAGGCTACCCTTTGAGCCACCTCCTGACCGCCGGCCTTCGGTACAGCTTCCCTCGCCAACAGAGCCTCTGTCCGTCGAGCCGCAGCTGCTGCCAAATCATCCGTGTTCACTCCCTCTCTCCCCCCATTAGCAAATTCACCCCTCATCACCGCAGTAGCAGCCTCGTGAGACATCTCCGCACGAGGAGCCCCCGACTGAGGGCGCGGCTCTATTGATGCTTCTGAGAGCATATCTATGCTACTAGTGGTATCATCCAATGATGAGCGCAACGAGCCGTCCGAGGCCATAGAGAAAAGCAGACTAAAACAACTCCATCCACCACCAACATTGAAAACAACACCGAACTCACTTTCACTAGAGCCTATGATTATCTCATGGAGTGGTATTACTAGTAGTAAAATTCAAGTAATTGGAAACGATCAAGTTGGGCACTTGCTTTTCAAATTAGTAACAATCGCCTCACCTCCCTCCCCCTACACTCCCCCTTGTGGTGCTTTCTTCTCAGATACCCTCTTTATTGCCGCTACCCCCACCAGAGGGCCCTCCAACACGCCGTAGCGTAGCATAGCCGTTCGAACTGACAGCATTTTCTCCTTAGAATACGTCAACTCCTTCTCCTCCTTCTCCTCCTAAGCATCCCTACACACCCACCACACCAAACATACGCCTACCCTCTCCCCGTCATGATGCATAATAAGTTGCCTTAGTAACTTCTCCATCGCCAACCGCTCTTCCTCCTCCTCATCTACTCCACCCTACCAATACACTCATAACCATACCACTCCAATCTCAACCCACCTGAGATTGAGGAACACCCCCCTTCATCGGCGTCGGCAGCGGCACCGTCTCCGGCGTCACTATAGATGGTCTCGCAAACGGCTGTACAGAAACCAGCGGCCTTCTCACACGCACCTTACAACGATAACGATACACAGTCGGTCAGTGTCAGTGATAATATAAAAACTCTGAGGAGATTTTGGAGAATTCCTACCGGTTTCCGTTAGCCCTAAAGTGGTGTGGGAAAATATGCATATTGACAGCTACATGTGTTGGTGGCAATTTGGAAATCCTCCGCGATTTCATATTGATTTTCATACTAACTTCTATGGAAAGATTAAACATATATTCCTCCAACACTGAACAAGGTCTACCAATCTCACCAAACATCGCGCCTCTAACCCCTCCCCTTCGACGACGATACAAGGACAGCTCCGAAGCAACGTGAGTACCTACCAAAACAGCAGGAGGGAGGCTAACAATTCTTCCAACACTCCCACCTTGCGCACACCACACATATCCAACAGCGCCTGCAAGTGCCGCGAATAAACCTCATACCACACCTTCTTCACATCCTCCACCAATACCCCCTCAACCTACCAAACGAGTGACGCTCCTACCGACAAACCCAGTCGGACCTAGTTCGCTGAGCAACACAGATAATGACGATTTGTTGTTTGCCAGACGATTTGTAATAATACAACCTCTTCCACTAACCACCCTACCTCTCAGTGTGGGAAAATATGCACATGGTCAACTACATGTGTAGGTGACACCCGTGGAAATTTTGAGGAAAATTGAGGAATTTCACATTGCTTTCTCTACACTTCCACTCGAATTCGTATATAAACTTGTATAATTAGTGAGGAAACTTCTGGTGTCGGCTGAGGAAAGCGATCATATATTCCAACACTGCTACCTCTATTCCTTCCAATACCTCCACAACCTCCTCCCCCTTCCCTCCACCACCCCTTTCTGGACTCCTCGAAGTGTCAATCGGTGCCGGCCTCCTTCCCTGACGCCGCTCGGTGTTCCCTCTAGCCGCCTCACTTTCCTACAATTCATACCACTCCTTTTCCATCTCCCATCCCACCTCTCAACTGCATATTCCATCTTCCTCCTCTCCTCCCTGAGCCTCTCCCCACACTCCCCTTCACCTCGCCGAGCCCTCCTATCTACTTCCTCCAGCCGCTGTTCTTGACACCTCCTCCACACCAACTCTGTTAACAACCTGTGAGCAAACAAAACCAATCTCAAAATATACGTTTGCTTTCCTCACAAATTTCCACTAAGGTGCAAAAACTAACGAAAATTTTCTTATCGCCAACACAAGCAGGGCACTATCCCTACCAAAACACCGCCACTTCTCCGATACAATTATTATCTCGAAATTCAAAATTTGTAGATTTTGAAATACCCAATACTTGAAACTCCATAGCATAGACAATCACTTCCAATGAATATGAAAAAAAACACTAGTGATAAGTTTATTTCACGACCGCTGTATAGCGCGAATATCGCCTTTTTCACCGAGTTTTACACCACTTCACGTAAACTCCATGAATAATGTCCCTACCTCCTCAACTGCTCCTTCAACTTCTCCTCCACCCCCTTCCTCCCAGGCACCACACTACAGTACTTCTCCACATGCCCCATCGTACTCACCCTCACATCACAAGTCCTCTCTCCCAACCCTACCAAAACTCAATGTAAAAAGCGCGCGCCCTGCAAAAACACATCCACTCACGAACAACCCATAATTCGGGAAATGCCGACTTGAACCTCTCGAGATCATCAACACCGAAATAGGGTAGATAGAACGACTCCAGAGGTTGCAGCTGTGGATACATCTCTTCCCACTTCTCAGCGAGCTCAGCTGAGCTACAGCCTATCACCAGAGACCTAGCAACACCATCATAAACCAGTGTGGGAGGAAAATATGAAAATTCTGAGGAAATTTTCGGAATTTTTTTCGGGTCCTGTACTGTGAGGAAATATTGTACACAAGTGTCTTCTGTATTTTTAGATTCTTGTGATACTAGTCTCCCTTGCTAGCCTAGCGTAAACTTTATGATTACTGTATTGATCATTAGTTAAGAACCACTTGTTTATAACTCTTGTTGAGCTATCTAATCCTAACATGTACACTTCTACTCCAATTCCTACAATAACTGATCAAATTCTTAAGCTCAGCTTGGGAAAGCGAATATATACTCCAACACCAAACCTCTCCTCCTCCTCCTCCTACCGCTCCACCCTCCCTCCCATACCACGCCACTTGATATCTTGTTCTCTGCATACAACCTCAACTGCCTGACACCAAGAGCAACCTAAGATTCCCCCTCACCCGAGTTGCTCACCTTCACTATAAGGCGACGAAACGTCCCCAGGCTCAGCCACATATCTCTGGAGAAAGTCTCTTCATCGTTTTCCGACAAATCACCATTCACACACTCAAGCTGCTTCACAACCTACATAAACAGTTGCGCGAAAAACTCCGATTTCGGAATAAATTACACACCTCCTCTACATGACCCAAATCCGGACTCGACGTTGATAACAACTCTTCCATAAGAGAATCTATCGCCGCAGACGAGCCTGCGCCCTGAAACCCACCCTTCCTCTTCACAACCACACCTCCTTACCATAAAAGGCATCCGATATGGACCCATCCCCCTCGAGCTCCCTCCCAACACCAACTGTTGCATAAGTTCTTGTTGACTACGTAGCAGCTGCTGAGCTACGACGGCTGTTGCCGCTGAGGGGGTGCCACCCTGGACCTGTTTTGAATCTTTCCGACACTAATTTTTCCCACAAAATTCGAGAAAAATCATCGAAATGATAGATTTTATTATTATGAAAAAATTCACGCCCCAATATCATACGGCAGAAATGAGATTTCCCAAAATTCCATCAACTTTAGATCAACTACTACAAACACCAACCCATTCCGTATCATGCAATGCTGACCACACTTTTTGCTAGACGTAAAATCTCTGGACACCAATCGTCTATAGTTTTACACTGTGATTGTACTTTCGCAGACCGCATTGCATCTTCGAAGGCGTAAACTTTACAACTCCTACCAACACCCTTGATGCTGAAGATACCCTTCCTTTTCAATAATACGTCTTTATTTCGTCTCCTCCCCATGAGTCGTGTTACAGAGCAGTTCCGCAACGATACGAACAGGTAACAACATACCCCTACTTACCATACTCCTTCCCATCAGCATTGACGATGGCATCGGTGGTAGACCCAATCCCGGCCTCCCTCCACCTCCTCCTACAAAAATAAATTCCACGAGTAATATATTTTCGCTCTCCTCAGCTGAGCTCAGCATATTTTCACTAATCACACAAGAATTCGAAAAGAAGTGTACAGAAATCAATGAGAGCTTTCCATAATAAAATTCAATACTGTTACGACCACATGCAGTTGACCATTTGCATATTTCCCATACACACTTCAGTGCTATTATCATCCTCCCGAGAAACCACAATTAACAACTTCGTTTTCTATTGCCGAAATTAACGATAGTAAACAACTTGTCGCTATCACAGCCTCGAAAGGTTACTTCTATAACATCACATGTTCATACCAATGCTTACGCGATATAAATTCAGATCGATTCTCAACAATCTCGAAAATGAGACACATTTTTCCCATTTGCATATCAAACTGACACGCACTGTCCAATACCATAAACTCCGCTACCACTTACCACATCCCTTCGGAAGAGCACCAGTCAATTTAGTCAATAACTCCACATTAGTGATGGGAGGGTATTCACCAGGAGAGGCCAGAAACGGTAATATATTTTTCAAATCACCGCGAGATTCCGCCGCAACAGGAAGCTCCCCCATATACTCCGTTTTCACTCTAACTCTGACCTGAGCATACCAAACACAACCGTGGAAATAGCGAATTTACTACTATCAAGCTGTGATAAGCTTATAACACATTCATATTAGTTATTGCTCTATTCGATGAATATATTAAATTTACAGCTCTATATTGGAGTTTCACTACCCTAGTGATATGATAAAAACACTAGTGAAAAACATATTTCACGACTACTGCTTAGCACAAATATCGCGTTTTTCACCGAGTTTTACACCACTTCACGTAGAACTCCATTAACACAGCTGTAAATTTACTAATAATACTATGGAATACCTGAGCTACTACGCACATCTAAGAGGAAATTCTTTGTTTTTCGCCGATACTACTAACAACTTCTACTGCTGTTATATTGCGGGAATTCACTTCACCCTACTTCATATGATGATCCGTTCAGAACCTCCTGAATTACTATTGATATTCACCGTATGCATGTGATTAAAGGCCAATGAAAAATAATAATGGAGTTTCACCCGTGATATGAAAAACACTAGTGAAAGCCTCGTTCCCCATTGCTCTCCAACCCGAAAACCGCATATGAGCAGTGGATAACGCGTGATGTGTTAAACATGATAGGAACTAATTTATCCTCTGTAGTTAACGAAGTGATTTCACTTCACGTAGTATCACGAAAATCGCCTTTTTCACATGGAGTTTTACACCATTTCATGCCAAACGAGTGAAACTCCACTAAAATGAAGTAATTTTAATACAAAAAATAATATTACTAATAGTTTATATATAAATATAACGTTTACCTCAGGGTGAACGCCAACTAGGTCCAACTCCTTAATCGAGCGTAAAAACGGCATCAATTTCACCACTCCAAATCGTTCTCGCAGGCTCTTCAAATTGTGACTACCTTGGTAGTATCTAAGCTCTCACTATACAGAAGTGTCACTAAATTCTCATCTACCTATCCCACTCCGCTGCGAACAGTGACAGTGTTAGTCCTCCTATATGGGAGCTCTCATTGATTCCCATTGCTCCACTGCGACGGCAAAATTCCCTACAAACATGACAAAATCTGGGCCTAATCCGTATCTTTGTCGCTCAAACCTAAGATACTCAACCATTAATTCCAACTTCCACACAAACAGTGTGCGATAATATGCACATGGTCAACTACATGTGTTGATAATAATATGGAATTTCTGGGAAAAATTTTGGAAAATTCTACTTCTACTGTACACTTCTACTCTAGTTCGTATGTAGACTCCTGAGATCAGCTGAGGAAAGCGAACATATATTCCTCCAACACTGCACACCTAGACGTGAAATTCATGCACTTTCCACTGCATTAAATACCTACCTCACGACCACTACTATCATCCGTTTGAATATCTCCAACTCCTCCGTATGCTCCCACTGAGCTCTATCAATAACCACCTTTCCTACAAAAAGACATAGGCTCTCCACGGGCCTGTTTTAAATCTTACCACAGGCAACCTCGGATACCTCTCCATTCCCACCATCATTTCCTTCTACAACAACCCGATCCTGAATAAACCAAACCATTCATACCACTCCTCCGCCACTTCCTACTACCCCCAGAGCATCAACAGCCTCTGACACCTCCTCGAACACCAGCGACTTCCCCGTAAACTCTTCATATCGTAACGGTAGTTGATTTACCTCTACTCCGCGCTTCCCAGCAGACGCAATGACCTCCGGAAAGAACATCTCATCGGAGTTTCATCCTAGTGATATGAAGAAAATATTACAAAATTCACTTGATGATAAACAATTGTATTATGAAATACACGCTTATTACGACACTTCACGTTAAACGGATGAAACTCTACTATACCGAAATCGTTGATTACCTCCATCAGCTCGTTAAGCACACTCTCCCTAGGGTCCTTGATAGGAGCACTTCCCATCGGGACAAACGCCTCTGCATTAGGATTAAAACTTGACGACGTTTTTCGTATCTTACAAGTGACAACCTACTAAGATACCGCACCCAGCTTCCCATCAAACCTCTCCAGACGAGGATGGCACGAAGACTTTCGCCTCCACATTGAAGGGAGTGGCAGCCCTTGTGGGAGCCTCTGCTGGTGATACCTTCTTAGCACCCGAGCTGCTGCTCATTGTGACTTAGAATAAAGTGCTATACTACTACTACTACTACTACTACTACTACTACTACTACTACTACTACTACTACTACTACTAGGTATTAGAGAGGTTTCCAACCATTTGCAGTGGTGCTCCCAATCTCGAGGTGACGCGATCGACAATCGCCACGTTAGCTATGACTCTGATCATTACAAAATCCATTCCAAACGTGAATACCCTATAAATAACCAAACTGCGCTGATACCCTCAGAGCCGCTATCACCACCCTCCACAATGCTAAACCTATACCATACCAACACCACATTCCGACTACCACTTCACAAAGAGAAAAACCTGTAAAATATTCCTACTGCGTCGACCCTGGTCCACTGCAACGCCCACGCCCCGACAAGATCGACAAGCAGAAATAATCGATCATCTGGGCGCGCGCGATCGAGAACCGCGCACTCTCAGTTGGAACATGCGGAGCGAACAGAACCATCGTGTGAACGACTTGGATGAGAGGTAGGGTGTATGATCATCGACCTTCAGAGAAACTACAGAGTAGTCCGAAAAGAGCCTCCCCTTCGTAATTTCGCGGCAAGTGACAGTTCGTGGGCAAAATAGGTACCATTTGAAAGCCCCCATCCAATGCTGTATGAACTGATATTCGTATTGTGCACTGAGGTAACGTCAATCGCAAATCGGCCGTACTGGTTTCCCCTATGTAGCCGATTTTGCGTTTGGGATTGGCTCTTGTTTGCACCACTGCGTAAATACCCACAAACAACCCCACACTGAACGTCCATTAGTGTTATAATAAGGAGATGCTTTCGCAAGTAACTAACAAAAGGTTAATATCACTGATACTCATAAGTCTATAATAACGTTACTCCCATGTGGTTGTTCTGGTAGACTCTCCTCAATTGACAACATCAACAACCCAGTAATTTTCGATCAAGTGTTAGAACACGATTTCTGCCGTAACGACTCAATCAATGACAAGTGTGCAGGAAACGCCTCAACCCTCTCCTTGAGCCGCAACGACGTTTTCTCCACAGACCAATAATCATCTGCAAACACCATCAGCCGTACACATCCCACCTACCACCTTACCTTCACCTTGGAGGGCCTCCTCCAACAGCTGTCGAGTTTCGGGCTTATCAAAAAGGCTGCTCACCTTCGTAACATCAATATCACCATCGGGGTCAACCTAAAATACCCTATCTAAGGTACCAGGGAGCCTCCACAAGTCACCTTTCCTTCTGCCCCGTCTTCATTCAAGTCTTCCTCAATAGACCCAAGCTCGTCCAAGGCCTCATCAGAGATCTCATCCATATCAGCATCCAGTTGCTCGTCAACTTCCATCGCCGCCACCTCCTCGCTACCTTCATCCTCCTCCTCTCCCTCATTGTCTGAAAGGTGAGACAAAAACTCCCATAAAACACTCGTTCAGACGAAAACTTTTTCAAGTGCAGCTGCACAAAATACCATAACACACCTCAGGGTACCGCAACAGAAAATCCCCGACCTTGCGTAACACTAAGAGAAGAGCTCATGCACTGGATAAAGCTCCTGCCAGGCGACCCCCGAATCCGTTCACAAGATGGTAAGCGAAATCGGTTTGATTTATCCAACAAAAGTCTCACCTGCAATTTCCATCATCGGGGACTCCTCCACCTCGGCTCCATCCTGCTCATCAGGGGACGGTGGAAGGCCGAACTCCGGCATCGTTGGGAGTGGTGGCTTTACAGTTTCCTCTACCACCTACGCAACAACTTCAGTCTGCATTCCCAAAATCGCCTACTGTAACGCTTTGTCCCCCATCGCCTTCTAGTCTCGGCCCATCTGATGACGATTCGGCATTCCGCGTTTTTCTGAAAAAAAACTTTACACGTGGCCACAACTGACCTCTCAGTGACCTCTCGAGCAAGACCTGACTTTTATAATACTTCTCCTGCTGCCTCAGTCGCCTCTTCTTGAGACTGTCGCTGCCGAGTTCATCGTGGCTGGCAGTCACTAAGTGCTGAGGGCTCATCTCACCTAAACATGTGAAGGCAATCTTAGACAACAACGTCATTTAGACACCAACATTCTTCACAACAACGTTTTTTATACAACGGTATCTTTTACAACAACGTTATTCACAACGGCTTTCATGCGAACAACCTCACCCGTCAAGACTCGGCGACGAAGGCTGGCATTTTGAGGGTCCGAGAGGTTGAAATTGACCATCCTATATGCCGCTCTATACGCCTTGCTCTTAATGCTACGCTCATGCTTATCATACAGAGCACCTTCGATGTTACTCGCCAATAAACGAAGACACTAAGAGAGTGCGTCCAACTCGATGGTGACACCAGCAGCAGTGTCACCCACCTCCTCTTCATCTCGGCCTCCCTCTTCCACCTCAAGCACCGTCATAGGTAGCCCGGCGGCCTTCATCTCTGATGCCCCCACCAGGAGAGATTTCAAGAACTTTTCTGCTACCTAGGAACAGCACTCCGTCGATTGCCGGCTATTTCGAATTCACCTGTTTTCGTTTCTCTTGAGATTGCGGAGAATCCCCAGACTTCCGTTTTTTCTTCTTGTCACTGTTGCAAGGTCGCGACTCTTCCACGGAAGGCTTCTCATCAAGCCCAGTCTTTGGTACCTAGGAGAGCCTCACATGCAGCAGAGAAATACTGCGGGAAAATTCGGCCCTCACCGGAGCTCCCTGATCTACTGCTGGTGACGCTGCATCGGTCGAGCCGCAGCCCCCACATAGGAACACAACTGGGGACTGAGAGAGTCAATTCACTTCGACGAACCGGTAGATTCCGTGGTGATGATTGTAATACATTAGCTATAGTGTCAGTGATATAACCATCACAACAGTGATAGGGTTACTGGAGTCTCACCCGTGATTTAATTTCGGGTACAGAAACCACATCTGTACCCGGATTCTTGTGCAAACTTCTATAGTAAGTGAGGAAACTCCTGAGCTCAGCTGAGCAAAACAAGTATATACCCCAACACTGGAGTTTCACCACCCATTTTACGTCACGTGGCGTAATACTCGTTGAAAAACGCGATATTCGCGGTGATATGCACTAGTCGTGAAATATGTTTCTCACTAGTGTTTTTCATACCACTAGAGTGAAACTCCACTGTCCACCATCATACACCTCGGAACATTTTTAAGGATAATATCACGATTGCTATTGCGGGTAGCATCAGCATTACCCACCTGGGACGGGAAGTCCTTATTTGTCGCAGTCACGCCGGGTACAGCATTAGGATGATACAGTTTATGGCAACCACGACATTCGTAGACTCTCATCTCAGGATTGATGACTTGCAGGTGAAGAATAGGGACCTATACAAAGCTCTTAGATCAGCTGATCAGTTGATTTATAACTATCTATATATATTATAAATAACGTATTAAGATCTATTATAATGGAGTTTCACCCTAGTGATATGAAAAACGCAAGTGAAAAACATATTTCACGACTACTGCATATCACCGCGAATATCGCGTTTTTCACGGAGTTTTACGCCACTTCACGTAAGACGGGTGAGACTCCAATATAATAATATTAATAGCCCACTAAACGTAAAGTAATACTCGATATCCATAGATATTGCCAACCAGTGTTGGAGGAATACATACATTCCGTTTCCTCACTAATCATACAAGTTTACATGCGAATTCCACCAGCAGAAATACACAAAAACCAACGAGAATCTCCCGGAGAGATTTCCGTTAAAATTCCAATAAATCACCAAGGAACGTAGTTGACCATATGCATATCCTCCCATATTGTTCACAACACTCAAGGTGCTCACCATGGACGAAGTTGCTCCTTTGGGGTCCGGTGCAAGGACAGCCTTGGCGAGTTGTTTAGGGGTGCATCCCTCCGTTTCCGAATAAATCTGATAAAAGAACATTCAATAGTTGCATAACCATTCTAGACTAGAACATGGCAGATTTGAAAAACACGTTCCACATCGCGAATACGCCTGTCCACCGAATATCAAATATACAGCGTTCTAGCATTACCATAGCCAGCACAATAGACAAATCTATTACATGGTACTTTACCATATATACACTGTGTACCATCTTTATCTAGTTCCACCCACCCTTCTAGAGAATAGGAATTTTTTTCGAGTACACTAAGTTAAATTATCAGTGATCATTCAACTGGATGACTCCAATGTTGGTGGTAATTTATCATCAACATTTTAGTTTCACCCGTTTTGCGTGAAGTGGCGTAATTCTCCATGTGAAAACCCAATATTCGCGCTATGCAGTAGTCGTGAAATATATATTTTCACTACTGCTCTTCATATCACGGCTGAAATTGCATTAAGTGGGCAACAACACATGTGCTTGACCACGTGGATATTTTTCAACACTGCATGTCATCATCAGGTACCGACTATAACTAACAATACTGGTAATTTTCACAACACCTACTTGTCTTGTGTAGTATACCCCTCTCATAGGGATTTTTACATTCAATTTCAACCACTCTTCAACAGGTAGGACCTGTAAACAACTAAAGACAACAACTCAGTAAAGTCATTCACTTTAGCTAAACCAGTAATGGCCTCAGGAGGGTTCCAATCCTCTTTATATCCACCCAAGAGCTCTGACTTTCCAAAACTGCTCAAACTGCGACCAGTGGCAGTCTCGATATCAGGCATGCCAGCTGATGGACCGAAGTCTGTATATGGTCGCCAGTACCTACCCAAAAGTGGACCTATTCCGTATCTTGCCATAGTCGACCTAAGATTCGAATACGCTGATATAAGCAATGTGGACAAACATGCACATGGTCAACTACGTGTGTTGGTGACAGTACGAAAATTTTGGGGAAATTTTGGGAAATTCTTGGTAGTTTCTGAGCACTTTCATATATGAACTCCTATAATTAGCGAGGAGACTCCTGAGCTCAGCTGAAGAATGCGAACATATCCTTTCTCAACAAATATAAACGTCGCGATTTCCGCCTCAAAAGGGTATAGAAAATCCGACTGGAAATTTTCCACCTCGCATTCATTTAGTGTTAGAGAATATACTTGACCATATGAAAATTCTAAGAAAATTTCGGGACACCCTCATTGGTTTCAACTCGAATTCATAAATGTTAATCCCTGAGCTCAGCTGGAGAGAGCGAATTTAACACTAGCACTCACCATCGACACCTCAGACCTCTTCCCTGCTGGTATTCTTCTATTCGCGCCACATACGGTCTGCTAGGATCACCAGCGAACATTTCAACGTCGCATCCTCGGTGTATCGGGATGTTCAATACAGGATGTGTTAGCAGGAGCTCCCCAGGGGGTTCGCCGAAAATCTTTTTAATCTCTGCCGAGTCAGTCATTTTATAATCGCCGACTTTCGTCCATCACCTCGCTACCCAACTCGCATGACTCAACCCATGTTTTTCCCGAAAATCCGTAAAAAAATACAAAAAAAATCCAACATGTATACGTCAGAGCATCTCCGCAAAGCCTTCCTCCTCGCCGAAACGGGGCGAAATCGAGCCCTCCTAAAAACACAATTTTCATGACAATACAAAAAATTTTTCCCCTACATCCGAGTGATCCCGAATAAGCGACATCAAAATATCATCCGTGGTTTCCTCCTTCGGCGCGGCCGACCGAATCTTCACCGCTTCCTCAACTTCCGTCCAGACGACTATGGTAGAGTCGTCCGAAACCGATACCAAACATGGACTAAAATGAATAACATTTTCAATATGTATCGCATAAAACTTGAAATCGATCACTTTCGAATACGCATTAGTACGGTGAAATCAAACTGCTCGCCCTTACACCGTTTCCTCGTATGAAAAATATGCACATAGTCAACTACATATGTCACTAACAATATGAAAATTGTTAGTAAACTTCAGGAAATTCTCATTGGTTTCCGTACACTTCTACCCGAATTCGTGTGTAAACTTGTATAACTAGTAAGAAAACTCCTGAGCTCAGCTGAGGAACGCGAACACATCTCCCAACTCTGTCGTTTCCCGTGCAAATTCGGCATAAATATCAAATATGTTAGCACTAATAGTGTTTATGTCGAGGCCGAGTTTCACAAGGGCGAAAATATCTCAGCTGAGAAGTGTTGAAAATACATACTTCCTTTCCTCAGCTGAGCTCAGAAATTTCATCACTACATTATGATCACTCGCACAGCAATTCGAGTAGTAGAAGTGCGCAGAAAATCAACGAGAATTTCCCGAAATTTCCGCAAAATTTTCATCTCGTCGCCAACATCATGTGCATATTTTCCCATAAAACACAGACTTGAACGGTAAATGCCAAAGAGCCGGATTCCCCTAAATCTCAGGTATAGCTAATAATCGATCACTCGATCGATTTCATACATGCTTTCCTTCTCTGATTCTCTACCACTCTGGAGACCGGACAACCACACCACCGCATTCACTGTCGATGAATGACCACAGCTGACGACGTGCAAAAGGCTACAGCTCTCCCGGTGCCAGATAA